ATCTCTGAAATCACAGGATGGCGATGATGAGGTGGGTGGAGTGTGGCCACTGAGCGTGCCAAAGGATGGCTGGTCAAAAGGTTTGAGTGGCTGCAGGGAGGGAGTCTGAGGGTGAATGGTGACAGGTGAGCTCGGTCTCTGAGCAGAGAGTAGAGCACAGCCCCTGATCTGTGCATGCATGCTCATCCATCAGAATGTCATGGCTGACCTCCTTGTGCTCCAGCTAATGGGCTGGCACTCTCCATATGGCTCTACTTTAGATCCAGCACCATGACAGATCCATGCACTGGAGTCCATGTCTTATACTGCATCTCCCTGCAGTGCATCTAGCTGGGGGAAAAGACAATATTTCCCATTAGCTCCCAAAGATTCAGAAACTAAAAGTGCTGCAACATTACACCTGAAAACACAATGTAGCTAACAAAAAGGCTCACCATGGAAACCCCGAGATACTCGGCTACATTTTCTGACACATACACCAGCCTGCCCTGTGCGGTGGAGACGAGGATGAAGCCGTGCAAGGCTTGAAGAAAGACCTCATGTGGCAGAGAGCAGTGTGATCGCTCTCCAGCTGGGAGCCCTTAGAGAGGAAAGAGTGAGTTCAGCCTTGCTTATATAGCATGCATCTCTGCGGGTTATCACATCTGTTACTTTTTGATTTGGTCTCAAGGGTACTGAAGATTTAGTCCCATTTTGTTTGACAGCGATGCAGGCTGAATGCAGATTAAAAGTTCAAAGGCATTAAAGGATGACTGCAGTATGAAAACTTACCCCGGACAGACTTCCTGATGTAGGTGCAGATGACGGCCATGGAGTGAAGGTACGAGAGTCGCTCCTGGTCCTCCAGGGTGATGGGCAGCAGAGCACGCATGTTCTTGATGTGGTCCCATCGAGCTTTGGATGCCCCTTTGGTGGATCTGTGAGAGACCATGGTCACTGAGGTCAGAAGGCTGGACTGAAAACTAAAGTAGTAAATCCGGTGAGCTCAAACTTTTGTCTATTTCCACACTTGCATTTAAAGATCATTCTGATGTGTAACTGCCAAGTGTAGTGCGCTTTTTTTTTAAAATGAAAATCTAATTGCAAGAAGAAAAAAAAAAAGAGTAATTGGCCTGAACTCATGCAGCCTCTTTTTCATGGCTCACCCTGCCTTATAGCGTTAGCTTGTGGGAAGGTGATGACTTTGAATATCAAGGGTTCCTATGGAAACTGCTGATATTTGCAGTGACAATGGCACTAGGTGCTCATTTTTAAAATGTTGTCACAATATTAGAAGATAAACGGATCTATGTCAGTGTAAATGCTGTCAGATTCTTAAAAAGTGCTTTTTCTCAAATTAAGACATCAGTGTAACATAAAACCCAGCTGACAAAATTGCAGAAAGGAAAAATAAAAGAATGTCTACATGAGCTTTAACTAAGCTTTTCAGGATGGGAAAGTGTTGCATATGAAAATAACATCTGAGAAGATGTCCTTTAGTTGTCTTTACTCACACTCTTCTTTAAATCCAGTGGAGGTTTATGACAATATGTCATACAAGTGGTCGTCCAGTTAAGTCTCAGACTTATTCCAGGACGGGTTTTCTTCAGCAAGCTCCACCTAAAGAAAGACAGAAAATAAAATTAGACATTAATTAAATATCTCTAAAGCTTACATACCAAAGCAGCAAATCAATAAATAGGTGGACTG